CTGCAGCTGGAACAGCAACCGGTCCCTGACAGAATAATTAGCAACCAAATGCAGATGGGCGAGATATGAAACCAAACATACCATAGGACAGAAGGTGTCGGGTGATTTCCCCATGAAATATTGCCGATGGTCTCGCTGTCTTTCACGGGCGGAGAGATCTGGGTCAAATTAGTTGGCTTCTCTCAAGTCGTCCTACAAACTAACCATTTATGATCGTATAACCCCAAACATAATCCATTGCATCTTTCTCCTTGATAGAAAAACCTGCTTTGCCGATGATGACTCCCAGTTCACCTTCGTAATCCATTGTGTTAGTAAATCCAGGGTGGGGATAGATGTCCGTTCCACTAGCAGTAATGCTAGTACTGCGCTTGGTGAAGACAGTTGGGACTTGGGGGCCTATATATTCTCAGTATCTTCTGCATAACTTCTTCGTGGAGATATTATTACTTACTGTCAGTTACTTTGCTGCCAGCCGCAGCATAGCCACTTTCCTGGTATTCTTTGATATGCTTGCGGTAGTTCTCGCCAATACAGAGAACATCTCGGTCTGCGAGAGGTGGCAACAGCTTCACTGAGCTTAGCGGGAATGGAGTTTCCGCAGCGCGGACAACACCTTCATCACCCAGTTCAATGGCTTGGCTCAGGTTGGCAAGGGGTGAGCCAGAAGCCATAGTCAGCGGCTGGATTGTGGAGTCAGCATGATCGAGATGGCCAATGCGAGGCCGTCCCAAGTCGTCTTCGAAAGCTACAAAATTGAAGTAGCTCTTTTCCTCTTGCAATGATGGAGGTGCCGTAGTCATATTGAGGAACTCCATCGGCTGAGCTTTGTGGATACGGCCGTTGATCATAATCACATCCAACTTGGAATGGTCTTGAAGCACCGCAATATCTTTCAGAGGATCCCCATCGACAAGAATGCAATCGGCGTAATACCCGGGAAGGATCTTGCCCAGCTCGTCCTCCTGCATAAACAGCTTGGCTATTCCAGCGGTTGCAGCGACAATGGATTCCATCGGCGTAAAGTCCAGTAGCTTCACAAAGTGCTCAAGATCCCGAGCGTACGTCCCATGAGGACACCAGGCAAAGCCATAGTCGCCTCCCGGAAGGACGGTGATACCTCTCTTGTGCATCTCCTTCAAGGCCTTTGTGGCTGTCTCCAACTCTTTCCGGTACCCAACTTGCTCAGCTTTCTCCATGGAATACCCAAAGGGTTCCGCCTCATAAACGGTGGCATAGAGCCAGTTGAGTGCGGGAGCAACGACAACCCGGTCTTTAACCTTTTCGAGCATCTGCATGCCCTCTTCATCGGTATATGAGGCATGGTAAATGACGTCGACGCCGTGTCTGGCGCATTGGATCACCGAGTCTCGGGCCCGTGCATGGGAACAAACCCTAATCCCATTGCGATGGGCCTCATCCACACAAGCGGCGGTTTCCTCATCGGTGAAGAAACATTCCTCGGCCGATACAGTTTCGGTGATCGCTTCGCCCGACATACTCAATTTGATTTGATCAACACCGATCTTAGCATGATGCCTGATCACCTCTCGCATTTCCAACGGGCCATCGGCAAAGGCAGTAATTCCGGCCGCAAGCTCACCCTCTCGCTTGGCGATCTCTCTGCCGTTTGCCAGAAGTCTCGGTCCAGGCAAAGTACCGCGATTGATAGCATCTCGGACGACGCAGTCCAGGCGATCTTTGGCAGATGCGGCGCCATAGCACATGGTGTAGCCGGAGTCCAGATAACAAAGCGCCGAGCGTGCTGTGATCAGAGTGTGCTCCTCTACGCCAATGTCACCCAGCAGCTCCAGAGCGATATTGTTCCATGTCCAATGTGTATGTGCATCCCCGAGACCAGACATGAGAGTGCGTCCACGACCCTGGATGACACGGACCTTTGGATCATGGCGAAGCGCTTCAACGTCGGGGACTGACCCAACCGAGACAATGCGCTCCCCATGGATCAGCACATCGCCACGATATGGGTCATTCCCAGTCGAGTCGAGAATGTTCACATCCAGGAAGAGTACCTTTGAGTTCGGTGAGGTGCCAGTCATGCGATACGATTTGGGTTTAAGTTTGGGATCGAACCGGAGGCCTTCGTGGGGATACGGGCGTCGGCGCGTGGGAAGGGTCGACGATGGTGTAGTATGGTCATGGAAACCATTGGTGAGGACTCCAGGAGCCATTGTGAATCGCGTTTCTCTCGTATAGTACAAAGCAATATGTTATTCAGGACATACACATCCAGCGCAAAGTAAGAAGAAGGGCGCCTCGATTTAAATGCATACTCCTCAAACCACTTCCCGGTCATGGTTGAGAGAAACGCAGTATCTACCCCATGCATTGTACCGCAGCATCCGTGCTCCTCACTCTCACTGATACCGGCGATATTCGAATTTTAGGATGGATATCGGAAAGAGTGGTAAAGTTGAAGGCCTTTGCGGGTAATGCGGGAACTTGTCCCTCGTGACCTCCCGACATCCCGGACATTCCAGACGACAATGAGCGACAGAGACGAATAACAATGGAGTCCTATGGAGACTCTGCATGCTCTTGCGCAAGGAGCTAGCGGATATTGCTGCACAAAGAACTCTCCGCTCCTGTACGTCATCCCTAGCAGGTTGCTTGTCAGCGTCAGCACCTTACTTCCGGTCATTCTGCGGAGCACTGAGCCCTAACTAGCTCTTGCACCGGTCTTGGTGCTTGGTGTCTCACCTCCTTTTAGGAAGAGGTACTTTGATTGCATATCCAAGTCTAACCCCCACGTGAAAGGGTACATTTGCTGTTCCAGAAGGCTTGACGTTGTGGCGAAAGGGCATGGCGGCCCAGATGGAACCATGTGAGGCGGATCTCATGAGCTGTCTGTAAGGACGCCTTAATCGTACACGACAATTGGGACCCATCCTAAAAAATGGGTCTCACAAAAGAGGGAGAGTAAAAAAGAAAGGAAAGCAAGCTTTCGAATTTCAACGTCAGCGACAGGATTTGAACCTGTGCGGGCGAACCCAACAGATTTCTAGTCTGTCGCCTTAACCACTCGGCCACACTGACTTGGATGAAAAAAGCTGAGTACCTTTTGCTACATGGTTGGAAGATAGTTTCAGAGCAGCTATGTGATATGGAAATCAACATGTGAAGCCATACGGTGACTCGCAGGGGTCAAGACAACTCTTCTGGTTGTGGAAGAGAATATTTCCTACCCGAAGGGGCGTATGTAGGTCACAGTACGGAGGGCCTGATTTGGGAAATATCAGCTGTCTCGATGGCTCCACTCCTCTATTGCCTCCGGCGATAGACAGCTACAATACAATATAGAGATGAATTGTGTGCAAGTGGAGCGTGGTACAAGAGTTGTTTGGTAGTCTCATAGATGTGCTCCGGGTAGGAGGAAAAATGAACGTGCGTCAGGATCACCACGGCCGTTCTGGAGGTGCTGGGCAACGAGGGATCCACAAAAAGTAAACAAAAAGACGAAAAATCAAAAAGTTATTCCGATGCGGGGAATCGAACCCCGAGCTGCTGTGTGAGAGACAGCGATGTTAGCCATTACACCACATCGGATGTTGTTGAAAGATCTATCTTACTTGACAATATCAATCAAAGCGTAATGCAGTCACGCAAAAGTCACCACTATCACTGAGAGGACTAAACGACCACATCCTATCGACGACTTTGTGGATATAAAGAATATAGTTGACCGATTTTGCAAATATTCCACGGACTGTTAACTATTTGCATAAGTATTATTCACTGGATAGAGCAAGGAGACAACTTTTCGACGGTCCTGTGAATATATATTTTCCCCGCTAGGACACATGAAATAAATATATATAGACAGACTCTGCCTCGAAGCAATTCCTACGATTGATTCGCAGCAAATCGCTTTTTAAATCATAAAGATGAATCCCCTTCGGAGTTGTCGTGCAGTTTCGATATCAACGCCCTCAACAGTGGCTGGACGACGCAACCTTTCCATTTCAGTCTCGTACAATGGAGTGTTCCCATATTCAAACCTTGTCAGCAACTTGTTCTCGCGGGTGAGAAGGAATCGCAACAACGCAAGCCCTGCGGCATTAATTTGAAGGCCAGCACTTATGCCAAACACCGTCCGGTAATAGGGAGGTCATTGGTAGAATAGGTGAAGGGTGTCCAGATTGAAGCTGAATTGCCCAATCCATTCATGACCGCAATGGCGGCGGCCCGTTTAGGAACTTGAGCAAGGAAGTAGCTGATATACATAACCGAAAGGCCAATTTTGTACTGGACCCCTCCAAGGCCGCGGCCGGTCTCGAGGCCTTGGAGCCTTGCTGAGGCATAGTTGTTAGTATTTAGTCTCCCAGCCAATGTCTACTATGTATAGGATGAGACAAGAATGAGGCAAGAATGCCACTCCTACCTATTCACATAATTCAACAAATAGACCAGGATCGCCAATGGCAAGATAAGAAAATCTATACGACGAACTAGACACGTTTCAATGGCTCGATCCTCAGGTTTGAGATCTTGAGGACTGCTTGACCCTCCTTGCCAGGTTTAGATGTCTTGGAGAGCCGGGACGAAGCTTGACGATCTTCTTTATTCATATTGTTCCTGCGATAGTAGCTTTTCACACCCGAACGAAGAAGTGATAGGGATTAAGCGTCTCTTTATGCAGTCAAGATTCTGCCAGCCAGAAGCCTGGATGCGTATACTCCACCGCTGACGTAGTCACCCCATGGGGTATTCTGCTCTATGGAGACCCAGGGGCCTTACAGGCGTCACCGTACGCCATTTCCTAGATCCTGACTGGTAGCTGTTTTCTTCTCCAGCATTAACTAGCGGAGAATGTGTGCGGAACATACGGACTTTCCATTTGGCGTGATACATATCTCCGCTCCCATTTCCGTGGAATAAAAGTTACCCGAACCCCGCCATTTAAAATCGGGATTTCCGAGGGATGTCTGAATCTGAAGCACCTATTTGATCCCTTGTCTTTACAAACTTTCCCACTAGGAATTTCTGTTTTGGTTGACTTGGGTGCAATGACGCCTGCTTTTGAAGATCTCCCATTGGACCCGGAAGGGCCACCAGGAAATGCTTGGGGCAGATTCGGAGATCAGGATGAACTGGGCACACTGAACCTGATCACGCCCGACACAATTGTCCGCGCAGCAAAGGAGATCCAGACTGGCGTGCGCATATCGCTCGACTGGCTTCTAAGTATGCCATCACATCCGAGTTTCGGTAGAAAGGGCTTTCACCAGGAGATTGTGCATAGGAGCCCGAATTGTATCAACGACGACATCTTGACTTTCAATACACAGAGCTCTAGTCAGTGGGATGGCTTTAGGCACTACGGTATGAATGAATTGCTTCGACTCACTGTATTCAAATGCTGATCTCTGGTCACAGCTCACCAGAAGTCTCGTCGATTTTATAACAATGTAACTCAAGCAGACATAGAGTCTTCTGATATAATCGGTCTGCACAGTAAGTTATTTCACAGAAGCTCACCTATCCACCCGACGCAACGAGCTGACAGTCGTAATAATCAGCTGTCGCGGAGGCAGGAGGAATAACTGGACGCGGCGTGCTCCTTGACTACGCTCAGTGGGCGGCTAGCAAGAATCTCCAGATCCAGTCTTTATCATCGACCCCAATCACGGTCGAAAGTCTCGAGGCCATGGTTAAAGATTTCCAAATCCAGATTCACCCAGGGGATATCTTACTCATTCGCAGTGGATTCACCGCCGCGTATAATGAACTGAATGAGCAGGAAAGAATAAACCTGGCACAGCGACCGTCTCCGGATTTTATTGGAGTGGAAGCAACCGAGAAAACACTACGATGGCTCTGGAAGCACCAGTTTGGGGCAGTGGCGGGGGATGCGCCCAGCTTCGAGCGGGCACCGATTCGCGGTCCTCATGCTGATCCTCGGTACAACCTGCACGAATGGGTGCTTGCCGGCTGGGGCTGTCCTATTGGAGAATTATTTGACCTCGAACGGCTCTCCCAGCACTGTAGGGCAACCGGGAGATATACCTTTTTCCTCTCGAGTGTGCCACTGAAGGTACCCGGTGGCGTGGCCAGCCCTCCGAATGCAATTGCTGTATTCTAAAGGCCGGATCATCAAATGGAATTGGGGCATATAAAGTTACCGTTATATGTGTAAGGTGATTTAGATCAAGCCAGTGCGTATTGCTCAGTGACTACTATTGTAACTATGAATAAAGAACTTCCGCCCTAATGCAAGATTCACGCCTGCGGCCCTGGCCTTGACGGCCTATTGGCAACGAAATATTGAAGTGGGTCGAGATGATTGAATGGTGAGGCATCAAAGCCAAGATCCATGATGAAATCTAGGTCATCACCATTGACGATGTCTGCAAGCTCAAACTGACCGGAAGGGCCACTTAGCGTCCATTGTGAAAGTATCGATGAGGGGAGACTTACCACATCAGGGGCCGGGCCTTCTTCAATGTTGTTTACTGCGCCTTGGGTATCCTCCCATGCTTCCCGTGGATCTAACCGTGGGTGGACAGAGTCTGATGGCGGATTTTGTTGTTCCACGGCAACGGATGCATTTGCATCACTGGGTACAATAGTTGTTCTATTATTGTCAGCCGAAGATCTTAGCCTGGTCCTGGATGATCTAAATGCCCGCTGCGCAATAGCCCTGGTATTCTTCACAAGCAGTGCCAAGGTTATGTCAATAGCTGATGGTAAAAGATGACCCGGCCATATTTCCGAGCCTCAGGGAACTTACTTCTAGTAATTTTTGAGAATGTTTATTCATGCTATTGTCAAGCTTTCGATGGCCCTCTATCGCCTCCTCCAGGACGCTCTCAATAGCGGCACGGTTTTCGATCTCCGGGTATAAGGTAAGATATACTGTTAAGATGGAGATAGCGCAGAAGGTAAAGTAAGATGTTGTCTTAGAAAATAATCAGATAAGTCAGTGAGATGCCAATTAGAGAGCAAAACCAACAACTAAAAGAAAGGAAAACGATATACCCAAAAGACTGAGTTGTATGTAGCATCTTCTTTGATCTCTGCAGCAAACAACGCCATTTGCAACGCAGCCTGTATGCATTTCCGTACCGGTGGCTCTGGGGTTAAAGCGGGCCGATCATGAAAATTTGCCTGAAGAAACTCGTCCAACAAGTACCCTCGGTATAGTTGCATGCACGTGAAGGAGAAAGCAGCACGAATAGTGCGTTGTTGCCTGTATGTGATTATTAAGAAGCTTTTCGAGACACTTTACACCATTTAAATACCTCTTGAATATCCAGGGGACATCATAAAAGACTTCGCTTTCCTTCTGGCCGAATTGCTCTTGCGGGTTGAAGAATCCCGGGGTTTCATCTAACCACTGGCTGAGCTGTGCTTCGATTTGGGAAACCGACTCATTCCGGGCGACCTTATCGTGCTTCTTCGAGCCATAAAGCTTCCTAAGTACTTGCGTTGTGATCCGAGCAAGTCTGTATATCGAGGTTAATGTAAGTCACTTTACTCTGACGTGATAACAGGGAGGTGCTGACTTTATGTGTGCAACGATTCCGGGGACGGTCTTGGCTTCATGAGGACCGTCCATTCTATCCGAGGATGACAGCGCAGCCTCTGGGTATGGTATCGTGATGTCGTCGTCAGTTATCATCATTGGGCGTCCAAGAGCGGCAGAGAGATATCTCAATACTTCTATTAGCCTATATGTGCTTAAAAATCTTTCGGCATGCCTTACCGGTCCATAATATACAATGACCAAAACACACCCCTGCGGGTGAACTCATCTAGACCAGTGGAAGCCGTAGCTTTGGCTTTATGGAAACCAACTATCTGACCAAGGCGGACAGCAGTCCCTACTGCCAGCCAAGCGCTGTTGAAAATATTGACTGCTAGGAGGAATTGGCACTGTATGCCATTAAAAGTTAGCTGACCAGGCGTCATGACAGATTGTGACACACTCACTTTAAGGCAGTGCGCTTGCATCACTAGAATCGATGGCGGAAATACGGATGTTGCCTTCTCCAGCCTTGATTGTGCGGCTTCGTAGAGCCGCGAACTTTGCGGGTGTTAGCACTGGTAGATGGAATGAATCAGGAAGAGAAGACTACGCTTTGGTCTTATACTCGAATATGTCGCGATTGTGCAAAGAAGGGTACCAAATGCACCTGAACTCATCAATCAACTCCACTATAGCCTAAACATGGGCTGACAATAGCTCACCCAACGGCAAGGATCAACAAAATAACCGCCATACTGGCATCATCTTGCAAGAAACTTTCATCCTCGGAATAGAGCTTGTGGAGAAATTCCTTGCTCTGACTTCGGGGAATATAGCGATAAGTCGCACATGAGTGACTATGAAAACAATCGATGTACTCCTCTGCTAGTCGTCGGTCCAGGGGAATTAGAGAGGCGCTCAAAGGATATTCGCTGAGAACCTCCTCGCCGGCCGGGACAGATTCCGTGGTAAGGATTGGCCCACAGATTTAAGGTGACTGTATACCCGACTCAGGAATGTGTGTGTGCTCGCATCCCCTGTGTAGTCAAATGAGAAAGAGAGATAAGTGAGAGGAGGAACTCATGGACTAGAAAGAACTTACCTTTATCGTCGTCCTCTGTCTGCTGTTGTCCTTCTGTTCCCTGCGGACGCGCACCAGCAGTGCGTAATGGCTGCGGTCTTTCTCTCGGAGACAAACTTCTTTCCTACTCAAGAAGAGCTATTGGCAAGCCAAGACAGGTGGTAATGGCAGCAACACTCACATTTCTTTTTCGCTTCTGAACGCGATTATATGAGCTATGATATGCACAGTCTACCCATTGGAGATTGACATTTCTTAGCGTTCCCACCCACAGCATCTAAGCGCATTTTCTCATGCACACGGAACGTACCGAGTCCCATAGATACGCAACGATAGCAGGGCTACAAAAGGGGATTAGTATCCCCCACTAGTGAGGCTGAGACAAGATTCGGTACCTCTAAACCGTCGCATTTGCATTTTCTCCTCTTGCATTCATCACAAGCACGAGTCACATACTTTTTGGGTGCCTTCTGTGCCCGGCTGGGGAGATTTCCGCTCCCTGGGGATTCCGTGCCGCCTGCCATGTTTACAGGAAGTAGAATGAGCGGGAATATATCTTTGGATAATCTGAACAGGAAACGGAAAAGGCGGCGACTTGGTTGCTGAGAATGCTCGCACCGGAAAAAAAGGTGTTGATGTCCAAGTAGAGACGTTGTCATGTGCGCGGAAAAGCGCCCGCATCTCCACCAACTTCCGCGGAGAATTTATTCCGGCACTGGAGTCTGGAGATGCTCGGCAACTGTCCATTGATCGCCGAGGATGTCGTGCGACACCTGCTCAAGTGGGCTGCGTAGATCAAAGTGCGGGGTCTCGGCTTGTATTTACCCCGGACTTTATAAAATTCCATGCATATCGAGTGCTTCTCCGACCTCGACACCCTCGTTCGATCACCCGAGCTGGAGCCTGCTAGCCCAACAATACCTGATTTTTCCATCTTCTTGAGAGATAACTAGAGAGGGCATCGTCCGCCATGGCGCCATCGGTGGTTGGAAATGACCCCATCCAGCAGAAGACCCCCTCTGCCACGCCCGATAGCAAAAGAGCAACCCCGTCCCAGCTACAAGTTCTTGGAAAAACCAAGGATGGCAGAGATCTGAAGATCAGAAGCTATCCCAAGTTTGACACGCTGGAGGAAGAAAGATTATACCGCAAGCAACACTTGGCTGCAGCCTTCCGGGTCTTTGCAGACCGTGGCTTCGATGAGGGCGTCGCGGGGCACATTTCAGTTAGAGACCCTATTCTCACCGACCACTTTTGTGAGTTATTATGATATACTGGAATCGGAAAACTCTTGACATAGTTACTAACAATCACTCTAGGGATTAACCCCCTCTCGGCTCACTTTGCCCTGATCAAGGTGTCTGATCTGATATTGGTAGATGAAGATGGCCTAGTGGTTGAAGGCGACGAGCCCATTAATGCCCCAGCATTTGCTATTCACTCCGAGATCCACAAGGCTCGCCCTGACGTCCATGCAGCCTGCCACGCCCACAGCGTTGCTGGCAAGGCATTTGCGGCTTTTGGTCGGGAGCTCGATATGATAACGCAGGACGCACTTCGTTTCTACAAGAGTCACGGTGTTTACCGCGACTTTAGAGGTGTCATTTTAGACCGAGAAGAGGGACAGCGCATAGCCAAGGCCCTGGGCCAGGGTAAAGCTGCTATTCTCCAGAATCATGGCTTGCTCACCGTAGGTCAGAGTGTTGATGAGGCAGCATTCTGGTTCATGAGCCTGGACAAGACGTGCCATGCGCAGCTATTAGCAGATGCAGCCTCTGCAGCTGGTTACAAGAAAATCATCATCGATGACGATGAGGCTGCTTATGCAGCACTCCAGGTGGGTGGCCCCGAGAAGGGCTGGCTGGCATTTCAACCATACTATGATGAGCAGGTTGCCAAAACTAATGGCAACTTCCTTCTTTGATACGATCTGATTCACGAGCGGAACTGGGATACCAATGTGTGGACAAACATGCAGACATTTTGTAGATAAACATTAGCTTTCTTCTTTCTTTCACGAACATTGAACAGTAATCTTGCGTGCTACCTATGCTTCTTGATGATTCGCATATTCTTCTGGATTTCTGCTTATTATACATAATATTGAAACATGGTAGGCGTAGTGTCTCGCCTACGGCCTAGCGAAGAATCACTACAGAGCTGTGAAGACGAAATAATGGCTCGCAAGACACAACATACTACTACAATACCCAAAAGATCATGTTTACATTTAGCCATTCGGCTGGAACATAGTCGGAGTTAAACCTAGTGGTTTACGAGCCTCTGTGCGTGGACCTAAGATCCGTTCAATTTCCGGTTCAATTTCCGCTCCGGTCAGGATTCTCCGAGCGTTGGAGAACTTGAAGACAGTCTTAAACTTGGGGTAGCATGTACCCAATCCACACCTTACAGGGTTCTATTTAATCACCTTCGCTTCAATGACCGCAGTCAGTCGCTAAGTTGTCAACGTAGATCTTAATTCAATTTCTATCCCGACTTTCCCCTCATACGCGATCTCACACCATGGTCAACCCATCGATTACAAGCAACCGTACTCGTTCCATTCTACAGGCCGCCAAGGAGGGCAAATATGCTGTTGGTGCGTACAACTGGTATGCATGTCACCTTCTGCAAGGTAATACTGGGTTGAAACCCACGTAAGCTGATTCTTTCGAACCCTACGCAGCTACAATTGTGACGGTGTGATGGCCGTCATTCGCGCTGCAGAGGCCAAAAGATCGCCGGCAATTATCCAGCTTTTCCCCTGGACCCTGCATTTCCAAGGCCCTGAATTTGTCTGTTATGTAGTCAACTCTGCTCATGCTGCCTCGGTCCCAATTGCCGTGCATCTTGATCATTGCATCAAGCCCGAGGACGTGGAATTAGCCCTAACTCTTCCATTTGATTCGATCATGATTGACGGTTCCACAATGGAAGAGGCGGAGAATGTCGCAATCTGTGCACGGAATATCAAACGGGCCCACGAGCTCGGGATATCCATTGAGGTCGAGATGGGACGGATAGAGGGCGGGGAAGATGGCCTCCCTAAGGTGGACCTAGGGACCGTCTTTACAAACCCCGAGGATGCTAGACAGTTCATGGAAGAGACTGGTGCCGACTTCCTTGCCCCAAGCTTCGGCAACATTCATGGAGGCTACGGACCTGGTGGTGCCGAAAAGTCGTGGGATACATCTCTGTAAGCCGGTTTCGCTAGTATTGTGGGTGAATTTGCTCTGACCTTAACCTTTTATTATACCAGTCTCCGTAAGATTTCGAAAAGTGTCGAACAGCCACTTGTACTGCATGGGACGCACCCTGTTACGGATGAACTGTTCCTCAAGGCAATTGACTGTGGAGTTTCGAAGATCAACGTCAACCGAACAGTGCGCGATGATTATACGAAGTTTGTCGCTGAGAATGCTGGGAAATTGGAATTGACAGTGCTCAAGGTCCAGGCCGTTGATGTTTATGCCAAGTCTGTGCAGCGTGTCATGGATCTTTTCAGATCTTCTGGCAAGGCATAACTGGTCCAAACGACATTCTGGTCAAGGGATCCTCCGTATGAGGAAATAATTATGGATATCCACATAGAATATATTCAAACAGAATATCTTCATCGTATTAGCCAATTCTAATAAAGATGAAAATGTCGTCTTTTTTCATTGCAAGCTTTAAATTGCTGGTTAATCTTCAATTGTTGACGTATAACTTCAAGTGTTAACAAGCTTTCATATTAACCAGGATTTGTGCACGCTACATTGTTGCATCCAGCATCATCTACAAAGATATCTGCTCTAGGAAAGCTGATATCGTTCCGAATATTTCACTCTGTCTACCTACGTAGTTCTTTACTTCCCGGATGAGCGTGTATTTGGAAGATGCGAAAAGCGAACAGATGATGCTTACCATACGATCGATCTCTGGTCAAATCTCTTAGAATCCCATTAAATGCCCGCGGAATCATACTCCGCAGCAGCATCCATTTGTCAAAATTGTGGTCACAGAGTGAAGAATGCATATAGTGATGGTGGGGACTGAATTATCATTTCCGCGGAACTTTTGGTGGAAATTCCGAGAAATCTTGGAACTCCGAGTTGGCGGAGAAGATGGATTTTACCTGCCACAAGTATGATTTGTGACATATACATGCCTGTAGATCTTTCTATTAGGCCAAGATCGTCTTCCATCCTCATATAGGAAATAGCTCTATATAATGCCCCGCCCCGTCCGTTGATATACCTCAATATTCCTCTTGATCAAAACAGATATAACCAGTCCAGCCATGACGGATCACATCGGTACGTTCCCCGAACTCAAGGGCAAGGTTGCCCTTGTCACTGGCATTGGCCAAATGGGGGACCCCCAGATGTGGGGAAATGGTGCCGCAACAGCACGAGTCTTGAGTCGTAACGGTGCCAAAATCTTTGGCTGCGATCTACACCTCGAGCCTGCCTTGCACACCAAACAGCGTATTGAGGCCGAGGGCGGCGTGTGTGAGGTAACGACAGCAAATGTTACATCCTCTGAAGATGTGAAACGGATGGTCGAGGAATGTGTGGCAAAGTTCGGGCGCATCGATATCCTGATCAACAATGTTGGCCGTTCGGAGCCAGGCGGTCCTGCTGATATGACGGAGCAAGTCTGGTAAGTATATAGAGCAAGACTGTGAGATGAAAATTATGAATCTAATGCTCTCTGGGAAATAGGGACGCCCAGACTGATATTAATCTCAAGTCGGTCTACCTTTGCTGCCATGAAGTTCTCCCGATCATGGAAAAGCAAGGCGATGGTGCCATTGTGAATGTTGCCTCGATTGCTGGGATTCGGTATATTGGAAAGCCTCAGGTTGCATACTCTGCCACCAAGTCCGCTGTCATCCAGTTTACCAAAGCTACCGCTGTAATCTACGCCAATCGCAACATCCGTCTGAATGTGGTTGTACCAGGGCTGATGCACACACCATTGGTCAGCTACCTTGCAGACAAGTATGCAGGTGGGGACTTGGAAGGGTTCATTGCGAAAAGAAACAAGGCAGTTCCAATGGGTCGCATGGGCGACTCTTTCGATGTTGCCAACTGCGCTGCCTTTTTGCTCTCGGATTCGGCTCGCTACATTACCGGGCAGAAGATTGTTGTGGATGGCGGCATCACCTCTTCTACTGGTTAAGATTTTGTAATTACGCGTGGTATGGATGTTTTAAATAAAATTAATCTCATGAGAATATGTAGAACTACAGTATCTAACTCTGAGAGGCTTGTAGGTTCCTATCCCAGCTGTCCGCATTGATAATGCGCGATGGACCATGGCGTGAAAGTACTTCTCTTGAAACGAAAGTCGAACATTCCCTGGCAAGTCTTGATAACACGGAGAATTCACTGGTCAAAGTCCTGAGCTCTGAAAACCTTATGGCGTTATAAGTCAACTTGGCTTCTTTATCATTCCCGCTGGCACTATCTCAACCAACCCGTACGCGGAAATAGGGTGGCCACCCCGGGTGCCGGCTACGTTAATGTATCCTTCATACGTTGCAATAGTTCCTTCCTCGTCGCACAACTCTTGGTCATCGCGAACACTGGATAGTTCCAGCGTGGTTCCATCAGCCAGAGCCACGACCCAATCAAGAGAATAGCTAGCCTTAGAACAGGGGGAAGTCCACTGGCGGCTTGACGGTGTGAACTCAGTGACGGCAAGTACTTGGTGTATTCCCGGCTCACCCCTGACCGTTGCAAACCGGAGGCGCTGTCCATCAACGGTATCCCAAGCCCAGATAGACATTGTCTGCTCGCCGAGGTGTATTTCAAACCACGTCCAGTTCGATTTCGACGGTCCACTCGTCGGCCACATGAGTTGACGATCGTACCATGTTAAAGAACGAGCGGAGTCAATGGTGAGAAACTTTTCATTGACAGTAAAATGGCCATCGGTGATTCCAGCAGGCATTGACCATTGAAACGTAGCCTCATCGCCAAACAGAAATGTCCCAGTACCTCCATTCAAGATGACCGGAGCAGACAACTGAAAGGTGAGGTTCAACTCAACGCGCTCAGTGATACACCAAATACGCATTCTGTCCAGAGGATTGCCTGGATCCACAGACACAAATCCGAAATATTTCGTAGCCACGCCAGGAGGCTCATTGTGTGCGTGAACAGGTCTACTAGATCCGTTGTATAGCCAACTGACCTGTCGGTAATATTCTGTGTCATTGATGTTTAGGATAGAGGCACGCAGTAGCGCTGTCGAGACATTCGGGTCCCGCGAAACGACGTGGGCAACCATCAAGTAGTCATGGTCGTCTGATGCGTGGACGAAGGATGATGACCACCACGAATTGG